ATCCACCTCTCACAGTCACGGGAATGCATGTTGCCCCCTGCCCTAATCGTCGGTGGTCAGGGAGTAGGGTGTGGCTGGCGTTTGGAGGGAGCCAGCTAGCATTTTGTCAGTAGCTCCACCTCCCGTCTACTTGCCCCCCCAACCTCATAGAGTAACACCAGTGTCTAAGGTCAACTCTCTTCCACAGACCACGCACAACCCACACTGGCATGGACGGGCTTGAATGGCAATGCCTATACAATTGCAGTCGGTGTATGACTGAGTTCCTTGCATATAAAAGCCGCAGAGCCTATCACATCTGTCAGGGCGTGCCATTCAGTGCAACTGTGATAATTGGATCCGGTGCTTCCACAAACCGGTCAGCTGAAATTTCCCTGCAACCCAAACGCGGATTGGCCTCTTGTGCCATTCTTTGGTTGCCTGTTGTGGCAGCGAGTAGTGAGAACCCTCTGTGAAGTTTCGCTTTCCTTTGTTCTATTCGTTGTCCGGCAACCTTCCTGGGCTTCCTCCTCCTCTTCCCTTTCCCCGTTCCGACGCTTCTGTCCTCCCTCTCCTTGTGTACTACCACAAAATGCATATGAATGAGCATAATTAAGAGGGAACAGAGTCGACAGACAAATGATAAGGTGAAGATCGGAGGAAAAATGAGCAGGAGTATGCCTGCCCCGTTACGCAGCCTTCTTTCAGAGTGTGAAAGTAGTCCGTTAGGCACACGGGGATGTGGGCAGTTTGCGCTCAACCACCATCGACGCTGGCAAGCCATGTACGCTAAAAAAGGCGCAGTGAAAGGGGAGCTGCAAGAAGAAATCAAAGGGGCACCCCAAATAAAGTGAATTTAGAGAAAGGACTGTGCAAGTAAATGGCAATATACTGGGTTTTATGGTGCTTTGCGTTGTTTGCTATATAGAGGTGAAGCTGTTTCAAATTTTGGATCTGATCGCCTGGGTGGACTAGTGGTGAAGGTGTCGACAATCTGTGACACATTTTATTTTTTTTTACTTCTATCATACGCCACACCATTTTTTGTCCATTTGTGCCTGTCATCCTTGAACAGGGGTCACAACATCTTCAAATTGTAATGGATGTCCCAAGTTACACTGCAGCCTTTTTCTCCTGACAAAGGAGCCCACCTGTACAAGGTTTCGTTGAAGCATGCTAAATATATGGCAAACTACTTTTCTGTTGTCGTCTCGGTTGTTCAGATTTGTAGCGCAGACATATGAAAGGTTAGGCAATGTGATGGCTGCTGCCTTGGCGCATAAGTGTACCGCGGTGGCCTGGACACGGGTCGTGAATCAAAGGCACCCTATTATGCGAAGGGACTGTTCGGAGTTGCTGTCGTACGTCCAGGCGGCCACAACACCCTTACTCAGTAGTAGCAATGGTGAGTCCCCCTCCAAGTCTGCTTCCACCTGTTCTCAGAATTGACAGCGGTGCAGCAAACAGTGCCTACACAGAACTCAGGGCTTTGGTCATGTTCTATTTGCCCGTCCTGTAAATTGCCGTTTTTGGAAGTTTTTGCGTGATTGTCCACCGCTACTGAACGCCCGGTCATTATAGCTGTATTTGGTGCAACTTTTCAGTCCAGATACGGCGACAATTACCGGGCGTTCGAGTCGGGTAAACACGGTAGAGTAACCAGAGGCGAAGCCCATCTGGTACACCCATGAACTGTTGGAATTCAGACCCCAAGTTGGAGTCCAGATGCAATCAGATGAACACCATGAAATATTAATGAAAATATTCAAAATAAAATAAAAATGGCCAGAAAGAGAGTCAGAGACGTGATTTGGCAAGTGAATGCTGTAAAGGGAGTGCCGTCGTTCGCGCGCAGAAGAGATGATTGGAGTCCTCGCTCCACTACACAACACTCTGCATGCATCTGCAGCCTAATAATGGTCCCGATTACGTTCCGAGTGCTGGATCAGGTGAAATGTATCCGGGCTTATTGTTTTTTTTTTTTGTTCCCCCCCCCCTCCCCCCCCCCTCCCCCTTCATCCGGGCTTATTGTTGTTCGTCTGGGCTTATTGTTGTTCATGCGGGCTTATTGTTGTTCATGTACATGTCTGGTATTGTGCAGTGGAGCGAGGCCCTAGTACCCCTGTATGGCAGGCAAAGTTAAGAACACACTTCCTGTATAGTACACAGTGCTACACACCCATCTAGGGCTGCATGGCACGGTTCCACTATGGTACAAACTTGCCTGTGGCTGTAGGGTACACAGTACTACACACCTGACTATTGATAGAAAGGGTCAAGTGCAATTGCATGTTGCCTATTGCCTGTGTTATAATTTTCTTAGATCTTTATTGCTTTGTGGATATTTATTTCTTCTCTGTCTTCATCTTCGTGTTCTTCTTGTTATGGTTAACATCTGCGTTCACGCCATTTGTTACGCAAACGTTTCAGGTCCTCCTGAGGCCGTTGCGTTTACGATTGAGGGTTTTGGTCGTGTGGGTTGCTTGGTGAGGCTTGATGAAAGCCAGGACACCTGAGATGATGTCCTTCCAGATTCATCAGGGCTGATGAAGCAAATAGATGTGTGCTTGTTTGCTTGTTTTGCTGTGCTCTTGCACTTGTGATTGCAGCCTACTCTGATTTTTTCCTTTTTCATTATAATAATTAAAATTCAGCTGTTTTCTCCTCTGCAATCAGACTCGTCTTTCACACTTTCGACATGCGTACAAACAGATGACAATCAAGTTGGCGACTAGCACCCACACAAAGCTCAGAGATAATGAAGCCAAGAACACAACACAGATTCAAACTTGTCCTGGCCACCTATGGCCGACACTTGCACTCGCAGCAACTTGTTCGTACACACACACTGGATCTCCCTGGATGTCCCGACACATACACCACACAGCTCTCTCAAACACTAACACGCTACTGACATGCTGACGTGGCGGCTATGGCCGCCGTCTTCCTCCTACTACTAACACCTTCGGCTATGGCCGATCTTCCTCCTCTTAGCCCTCTTCTCCCTCGGGCTTCTGCAGACCTCCTTGCACAAGCCGCTCAGGCAGCGCTTCCGCATGACTCACAGGCAGAATGAACGAATGGCTTGACGCTGCCGCTTGATTTATACTTTGGATTGTCAATGGTCTGCCTCAGACCCTGGGCCCGGGGTGCACACAGTCCCACATGGTTTTTTCTGACTTGACAAAGTGCAACTGGGACTCGGTACCGCTGACTGGGCAGAGTTAGTCTGCCCAGTTGCCCACTTGCCTACGGTCTACCTCCTCAGACCTACGAATGGTCGCTTCCAGAAGCTCCGGAAGGCTGTCCATTTGACCCTACGGCACTGTAGCAGCTACGACCTTGACTCTTGGGGACTGTATGTTGCATACCGTAACGGTGCAGACCAGAACAAGAACCGACCTCTCTCACAAAGTACAAGATAGCGTAGCGGAAGACTTAGATGCCAATGATCCGAACAATCAATGTTGCAATGAAGCCCCAAACATACATCATCATCATCATTCCATGGTGTGAAGGGGCCTGGCGATCATCATCATCATTCCATGGTGTGAAGGGGCCTGGCGCTCCGACCTGTCTCTTATACACATCTAGATGTGTATAAGAGACAGCCCCAGCGCTGAAGACTACTACTACAGCTACTAGCGCCCAGCGCTGAAGACTACGGCTAGCGCAAGTGCTACTCCTGCAGCGCTCCTCCAGAGTGCTGCTGCCGAATCCTGAAGACGACTCCTGCCTTCTGCCTCCCCGTGAAGTGCATGGGAACTCCCTATGTACTACCTCGGCCTGCCTCCTGACTGCCTCCGACTGCCTGCAGTTGCAGGGCGGGGCAGTCCAGGAGGCTGCTCTTGCCAATGCCAACGTGAGCCAGGGCCTGGCGCTGCAGCTCCTGCTGAGGCTGTCGTGGGAACTGGCCAGAAATAGCCTGTTCCTTAAACCCCGGTTTGGTGCCTGAGTGTTAGGGCAGGTCGATCTTATGAGGGCCCGAAAGTGGCCCTCCATTTCAGGCTGTAAAGACTCAGGGCCTGAAAGGCCCTGTTTTAGGCTGAAACGAAATAGGGCCTGCAGGCCCTTGTTTTCAGGCTTTCAGGCTGAAACGACACAGGGCCTGTAAGCCCTTATTTTCAGGCTTTTAGGCTGCGGACGCTGGTCGGGCCCTGCAGGCCCGTGTGGCTGCACAGCATGCCACACTGTAGCAGCTATGACTCCTACCTCTGCTAAGACTTCTAACCTACAGACCTACAGTTCGAGACCCAACGATCAACATACCTACAACAACAAACAGGCGACTCTCAAGACACAGGTCGCGGGTTCAAAGACACAGGGGTCGACTGGTACTGTACACGGGTGAGGGGGACGTCTAGGGATCGAGCCCTGGGATGTATCTGCTACTGCAAAGGTGAAAACCGTTGCACCCACATGGGGGACAGTTGTACTTATTTTCTAACCTTACCCTATTTTCTTCTCTCTTGCTTTCCTCTAGCTACCCATAACCTTACCCTATTTTCTTCTCTCTTGCTTTCCTCTAGCTAGCCATATGTCTACCTTACCCGCAAGCTCTTACCAAGCTAGCAGACACTACGTATGGAAAAAGGACGAAGCTTAAATTTACTGGATATGGACAGTACTTCACAGAAGTAGGCTATCCTAAGGTTATGGGTCTACGCCTACCTCTCTCTGCTCTGTGTGGGGGAGCAGTACCCAAGCTCCTAACACCTGGGGTGGGCCTCTCTGACTTTCCTGCTTAAGTGTGTGGGTAATTTTCAATTTTGTGAGCATTTGTAAAGCAGACCACCTGAGGTGATGTCGTTTCTGCTATGCCTGCGTGATTAAGCAAAAAAATGCGTGGTTTCTTTTTTTTGCCGTTACTCGTCGCCCTGTGCTTGCAGCTTCGTCTGAATCTCCTCTCTCGTCATCGTCGGCCTTGGACACTGAGGTTCCCGGTAGCAATGGCAATCCAGATAAGATGCCTTGTACAGGCTCTGGACCTCCTGTAAATCCCAGGATAGGGGTGGTCTCTCCTTCTTTAGCTGCTGGAAGTGGTGGAGCGATGGTGCTGTCAGCCAAGCTTCGACAACCGTATCAAAAGCTGCTGAAAGATGTAAGATGGGCTTCTGTTTATTATTATTCACATAATAATACTATAATAGTAATAATAATTAGTGTATTACACCCCTATTGCTTCTCTCTCTACCCTGTATCTCCTGCCCGTTTCGTTAAATACAAGCACAGCCTGAGAAAGGTGAGGTCGAAGGGCTTTCGCCATTGGCGACGCTCACGAGGGCCATTTTTCTCGCAGCTTTGTTCCTCGTGACATGAAAGCTTCTTGGCGAATGCATGTGGAGAATCGATGGTTGTTCATTTCTCACCTCGTGAGCGTCGGGACTGTGATCAGCCCTGTGTGTTGTGGACGCTTCTTTGTGGACTGGAGCGTGTTTTTCGGTGTTTCGTGAAATTGGTGTTTTGACAGTTTTGTAACGTTTGTATCTTTTTTTTCTGGATTATTGTCGGTTTTGGATGTCAAATGCAGGTCGTCCTTCAGGACATCCATTAAAATTGGAAAAAAGATACAGAGAAGATTACCATGGCCCCTGCGCAAGGATGACATGCATAAATTGAGAAATGACAGAAATGGTTCATTTGTAAAAAAAAAGAAAAAAGATGATGTCAAATGGAGTTACCAACTGGCCCAGCTCAGTTGGTATACTCAATAAACTGTTGAAATACAGACCGGAGTTCAAATCCAGATGCAATCAGATATACAGAACCAAATGGTTCTGGATTACCTGGGGTCGGTCAGCTGAAACATGATATCTCAAGGCCGTCGCCCTTTTTTTTTCCTTAAAAAGTAAAAACAAGTGAACCTGCTGCGGCGAAGCCGCGGCCCAGCGCCAACCCCACCCCAGGCACAGCCATTATCTGACCCGGGCAACATTCAAGGTGTTTGTTTTAGAACATGTGGGACGTGCAGCACTCGGGGGGGGCATCGGCCAAGGCTTCAGCACACCGTCGGATCCTTTTTAAATCAGAACTTTTTTATTGTGGGCGCCGCTGGATTCGAACTCGTGTCTGCACCTCAACAATTTCATGTGTGCATCAACTGAGCAGCCTGCCAATGTGCAAAATGAAAAGGAATCTTCCGCAAGAACATAGGATGACACCGTGAAGGACAGATACATTGAAAAGACATCCCGGTGTGAGTGTGGACTAAGTAACTGCCAGATGCAAATGTTGCCACGCGCGTGTGTTGGGAGAGAGAGAGAGAGAGAGAGAGAGAGAGAGAGAGAGAGAGAGAGAGAGAGAGAGAGAACAGGTAAGTCTCCAACCTCGTGCCTGGCCTCACCCTACTTCCATCGATAGGATGAACAAAATCGAATGAATCTTCCGCTAGAAGATGGAAATGTACACTCCCACACTTGTAGATTCAGCCCACAAACCTGTGCAACCCTCAGCCCGGCAACCAACGACGGCAGCTTCCAGCCACGGCTCGCTGCAACTTGATGCAATAGCACACGTGCCTGCACGTCTGCAAATACGGCCTCGTCACCCCTCGGGTTCCCTTGTGCCGGGACTGTCGCGCCTTGCCCCCCAGCACACTCGAGCACATGAAACGATGCGTTTTGCTCCTGCCCCCGACTTCCCACGTCTCCCTGGTGCGCCATGGGGCATTGATTTTCGCTGGGCCAGCCGGGAAGCGTCACGTCGGGCCCTCTGCAGTTTTTAATAGCATTGAGATGAGAAGATGTCAAATTCAGTCTCGGAAGTCTATTGTCTTTTCATTCCATCCCTCTTCAGGAGTCTTTCCCATCGCGCAAGTGTGCTGCTAAGTCAGATGGGTGTGTGGTCACACAGGCTCAAACCAACCTTATGAGGCTTATGCTGCTAAGTCAGATGGGTGTGTGGGCACGCGGGCTCAAACCAACCTTATGAGGCTTATGTGGCCGATCTTGCAGGCATTCTAATATTGCATTTTTATGAAGTTGCACATGGCGCAACAACACGGAGAGAGTATGGGTCTCGCTCCACTACTCTAGAAACAGGCCATTTCTTGAGTGCGGCACCGCTCCACTTACTCTAGATGCCAGGTCTGGAATCCGGGTTGGAATCCGGGTTCTTGAGCTGTCAGTCTGCACTCACGAAAATGACGAGAATCCGCCTTCGCTCCACTACCTCATGAAATGCACTCACGAAAATGCTTTTCGTGAGTTGTCTGAACCTCCTCTCCCGTGGCACTCTTGACGGTTCAAGAGTGCCTGCCTGCAGCAGCAGGAATTTCAAGGGAGGCATCCAGGACCTTTGAAAATTGAGCACTTTTTTTAGAGTGCACCTGGAGTCTGGGCGGACAACGCGTGCTGGCCGTGTCGTGTGGCTCTCTCAAAAAGCCGTCTGACACCCGAGAGGCCTTCTGGAGTTCGACCGTCGTACAGTAGGTGGAGCAATGTTCGCCTTTTCAGTCATTTCTAGAGTCTGACAGCTCTAGACTCACTCTCGAAAATCTTCAAGAGTCTAGAGTAGTGGAGCGAGACCCTATATTATGTGGCTGATGGCCTCACAGGCTTTTCTTTTGGAGCAGATGGTTTCTGGCGAATGATGTGCCAGAGATATTTAGGCAGGGATGCTCCAGGGCGTGTGCCAGGGGACTCGGCCATGGGATTTGGTCATTTTTCCTGTTTGTTTGTGTTGTGCCTGTCGGTGGACAAGGTCATAGAGGGGGCTTAAAGGGGTTCCATGGGGTTCCCACCTACAGTACATGGAACCCCTTGGCTATTTCCTGCAGGTGGGATCCCCATGGGCTCAGAGGGGGGCTTAAAGGGGGCAGGGTGCTTTTTGCAACGGTGCTTCTGTTGGTTCATGTTCGCCGCATGCCTCCAGCGGACCACTGGTTCCTGTTCTGCTTTGTGTTGACTAGGGGTAATGGGTGTCTGATCATGTCTTTTGTAGTGTGCATGCACGCCAAGCAGATGGATCTGTGCGCCCTTCTCCAAAGGGCAACCACTCTGAGAAATGCCCTAACTTCGGTGGTCGTCTTTACTGGCATAGGCCATTCATGTTCGTTGTTCGTTTTGGATGAATCCTGCCTCCTACCATAGCACCCATACCCCTGCACATGCACACCACACAGACGGACGTCTGGGCACTTCTCGGGGGTGGGAAACCCTGTGCACTTCGTCAAGAGGTCTCTGAGTCTCTCCTTGTTTATGAAGGATGGATTCGATGTAGTGTTTTTATATTGTTTGTTTGTTTTGGGGGAAAAGGTGCTCTTGGTCCCGACTCCTTTTCCACATTCTGGGAAGCGTCAGTCAGGTTTTTATGAAGAACTGAAAGTCCAAAAATCACCGAAGTCGGGGGGCTCAAGCTTTTGTGCACCCTTCGGTACTCGTTTGCACCTGATGGGCTGAATCTGGCTGCAGTCTCAATGCACCCGTGGTGGACTAGCAGCTTGAGATAGATATCACACAGCAGGATCTGGCACCATGGTCCACTCTTTGCATGTTTACACGACGGTTATCGTTGGCCCAATCGAGTCTGTGCTTCTTCCTGGATGCTTTGGTCTGGTCGTGGCAACGTTTGGAGTGTCACAAATCTGCCAGGTTGTTGTACCAGCTCTGGTCGGCAGGTGTGGGGGGGCACGTTGTTTTGTTTGCTGGTCCCAGCTTGGCCTTATGGTGTTCTGATTGTTCGGAATAGCATAAGGCCCAGTTGCGACCAACAAACCAAACAAAGCCCCTGCACACACCCGCCGACAAGAGCGCTGCTCCGACTGCCTCTGGTGAATAGGTTCCTGGAAGTCGACAGATACCTCAAAGCCCGAGCTCGGTTGTAGACTTCTGTCTGAAGGAGTTGGAATGAGGTGTCTGTCAGAAGTTGGCGCTTCGACAAAGTATGTGTGTGTGTGTGATGATGTGTGTGTGTGTGTGTGTGTGTGTGTGTGTGTGTGTGTGTGTGTGTGTATGTGTGTGTGTGTATGTGCACTCGCGTGCGCGCGCGCGCGTGTGTGTGTGTGTGTGTGTGTGTGTGTGTGTCATCAAAGCTGTCCAAACAAGAGATCTCTGAGCTTCAACCCTTTTCTGTACAACCTTGTTGTTATTTAGCCGAATTGTTCGTGATGACCGTAATTGTCCGTCTCCCCAGGAAGAAGCCAGACAGGCGACCGGTAGAAACACAGTGTAGGGTCTTTCGCCTGGATGACTAACCATAGTCAATGAACAAATAAGTGGTGTACCAGCAGTTAATCAACAATTTTTTTCCTTTCGCCTTTGTGACTTTTTTTTACTTAAACCGCAAGTACACGGCCCCAGCCTTGCAGAAAGTTTTTTGTTGCCACAAGCAAGCAAAACTCGGAGGGGCCACGCGGCGTGGGGCGCCGTTGAAAAATAAATAAAAAATCGGCGGCCTCCGAAGTGTTGCGGGTTTCATGCTGACACCCGCGGGCCGATGTGTGGTGTCCTGGTGCTTTAAAGGTGTCAGATTGTGAATTTGAAAACACGGGTTCATTTCCCCCATTATTTGGCTTGTGCATCTGAACTTCTGAACTGCGGCGAGGCTAAATATGGTCAGTCGGTAATCTTTAATTAAAGTTTAAAGTTTAAAGTTAAAACCAACGAAATATTTTCCGTAAGGTGTAAAGTTGTCCGTAGCAACCGACGAACTTTGGCAAAATTGCAAGTACAAGATTCAAGTGGACCAAAATTTCTGACTCTGGCAAGCCATTGCCCAACTACTTTCATGCGGATGTGATGATGGCACTCAGGTTGGCATTGCCCAACTACTTTCATGCGGATGTGATGATGGCACTCAGGTTGTTGAGTGGTTCGACATTGAGGTCCGAGCCTAGCTTTATAATCAGTTAAATTGTTTCATTTGTTTATAACTTTATAATGAATTTATATTTATATTTATTTGTGGGCTTGAAATGGTGTTGTGATTTGTCGCAGGTTGGTGATGTGTGTAACATGATGGAAGCGTGGCAAAGGGCATCGATAGCTATGGCTGCTGTAGCGAACCTGAAAGTGAAAAATGAGGCAGGAATAAGAGCGCTGGCATCGGTTGGAGAAGATGCGGGGTTGGGTGACATGGAGGGAATAGTCCTGCAAGCGAGAATTGCCCTTGACGCAATCCAACGGCATCGGGATACGACCGACTGACCGACCACCGTACCCATATGTTAGATGAGTCTTTTCGGATCTTCCCATGTGAAGATGCCGGCTGTACATTGTCAACATGTGTTCTAGTTGTTTATTCTCATTCCCCTCCTCCTCCTCGGCTGTGAGGGGCACGGCAATTATAATCAAGTGTCATTACTCGCCTGTGATTATGGCTGGCATGTGTAAAGCCTGTCGGGATGTGGACGGTGAAGCAGGAATCGAGACATCGTGCTCATCGGTGTAGTGTGCACGCACTTTCGAAGATCAAGCTGTGGATGTTGAACCAGGATTCGTCGCATCGTGAGCATGCATGTTTGAAGGTGCGAGCTTTGCTTTGGCAGTAAACTCTCTCGGAAGCATATGCTGCCTGTATACACTCCTCTGTGTAGGCTTTTAGAGAATGGACGTGTGCGTTTGTGAGGTGGTGTTTTTTTTTTGTTCTTGTTCGTTTGTTTGTTTGCGTGTTTAATAGGAAAAGGGGAAGGTGCAAGGGGGGGAGGGAGGAGGGAGGGGAAAGGTGAGGGAAAGGGTGGGTGGTTCTGTTGGTCCTGCCACTACATTGGGTGGTGAGGTCGATCCATAGGATGCAAATGAAAGTCCCTGCTGGACTGTTTCAGATGCCTCGTATGGAATGTTCTATTTGTCGGCTCAATTATTTCGGTCACACTCAATTCTTTTGTTCAATCCTCGGGTGGATCAGGATCTTATGCTGCTGCTCTCTCATCAGCAGAATGTCCTACACTGCACACAATTTTTGACCTGTGATTCTTCATCCCCTTTGTTTTGTTCCTGACGCCTCGCTGCCAACTCGGAGTTCGTTGGAGAGTAGGTCTGGGTTGGTTGGTTTTCTGCATCCCCACTGATTCCCCAGCCAGGGAGCTGCATGCTCGCTTCCTTGCTTCTTTCCTTGCTGACATCGAGCAAGATCTCCACCTTCGTTTCTCTCTCCGCTCCCCATCCTGCAACGTCTCCGCCTGTGGTTGGTTTTCTTCATCCTCTTGTTTGTCTAGGCAAACCCAGTGGGGCCTTCTCCTCTGCCTCCTCGACACCTCCAGGACATGTGTCACTGCCCCTCTGTTGAACGTGGACGCAGCTTCTTCGTCAGCAAGTGATGCAAACATACCCTTGTTTGTGTTTACGTGCACACAATTTTCGTCGGTGCGACGATGCCATGAGTCATTGTGGGTCCATATCGGACACTGGCGTGGGCTTTGGGGCGCCTCTCTTTGTCATGGTATTTGACAAGGGCCACTCTGGATTAGCGCACGGACTGCCACTCTCTCTCTCTGTCTGGTCTTTTGCGAACTTATGGCCCAGTATCTGTTTCCACTTTCAAGTGGTAAGCTCCGAACATCTGTTTCCACTTTCCGGCTGCTGCGCTTATTCGAGGTGCGGGTGTTGAGTGGTGTGTTGGTGGTTGTCTTGGGGTTCAAGTTGCAGGTGGCATCAAGAGTGATAGGATTGAGTAGAGGTGGAGTCTAGCTAGATTAGCATCCTTCCTGCCGGACCGTACTGACATCTTCGTGCCACGTTGTGCCCACGGAGCCGCCGTCCCTTCGGTCATCCATACTGGCGGCTTTGTCCCCTCCCGGAATCTTAATATGGCGGCAGTGGCCATATCAAGACTGTATGTTAGGAGCGTATAGTGCGAACGACCTGACCATGTTGACATCTGCTTGACTTGCTGTGCCCACGAACCCACAGTTTCTCCGGTCGTCTGCATCAGCTTTGGCCCCTCGCTGGACTCTTAATATGGCAGTGGTCATATCAAGATTCGATGTTAGCAGCGTATAGTGCAAACGACCTTGTCGATGGTGGTTGAGATGAATATGACCCAGCTGTTGTGGATCGTCCGTCTCCCATCTTTCAGGTCGCAGACAACACTATGTCGTCGATGACGGTAGCAAGCAGGTGATTCGCGTTTTGCCAGTGTTCAGAAGTCGGTGAACCGTTCATTGATTCAACGTAACGGTCCTTGTCATGTGGGACTGATAGTGAGGATTGAAACTTGCTGCTGTTGATAGGGCGTTTGGACTCCGGAGTCTGTTTCCCTGTTTTATGCTTTTTGCGGTTGGTACTTATGAGTATTTCCAGTCCAGATAGATCTGCCTGCTTCCCTTTTTTTTACCATTTCATTTAGACCATTTCTTTGCCTGCTTTACTTTCTCTCCAACAGGTACAGAAAGAGATTTGTCGATTGTACCTTGTGACATAACATTAGATTGCATTCTCCAGAGTGTCTGATAGCGTGTTTTTTATCCCCTTTTTTTTGTTGCTATTGCTTTTTCATTTCCGGTTTGGACGGTACCGGAGCGGTTGAGAAGGAAAGGTAGTGAGTGAGGGAAGTGCGTGTTGGCGTGACTATGAATGTGAGCCTCCTCAAGTGTGTTTCGAAATCACCTGTGAAAGGCTGTATTGCAG